CCTGCCCTCTAGCCTTTCAAGCTTGCAAATCTTCATATGGCTCTTCCCTTTGGCACTGGGGGGATTTTCAGTACGTGAAGGTCCAGACTGCCTCTCGCTCATTGCTGCCTCACAGTCTGGTTCTCTGGAAAATGCACACCTGCATAAGTTTGCCAAGTCGGGAGCATCCAGAGATTTCAGGGCCCTGAGACCTAGGGGCAGCCCCTGGTGATAATGCGGAGGGAGGCCCCATTTGATGTCGTTCAGGCAGCCTCTGGTGATGTCACAGGGACAGACCCAGGAGACGGAGGTTAATTGGGAGAGGGGAGCAGAGAAGGGCAGACCCCCTCCCCCTAGAATGCCCATGCTACAATTCACAGCCAGCTCCTTCCGGGCTGAAGTTTGCAAGCTCAATGCACACTCTTCTTAATGATTTATTTTATTAAAGGCACTCTCACTCACCTGGAGATTCAAGCCCTCCTACTCAGGGGTCAAAGGCCAGGGTAAAGAGGTGCATCTTTAGCATACGGCTGAAATTATGCCAATGAAGGTGCCAAGCACACCTCTGTGGGGACGCAATTCCACAGCTTAGGGGCTGCCACAGAGAAGGCCCTCTCCTGGGCTATCCACCCACCACCGACGTCCAAGGATGGTGGACCTAGCAAGAGAGACCCATTTTACTACATTTTGAAGCAAGCAGTAAAGGTAAAGGTAAATGGACCCCTGACCATTAGGTCCAGTCGCAGACGACTCTGGGGTTGCGGTGCTCATCTTGCTTTACTGGCTAAGGGAGCCGGCGTACAGCTTCCGGGTCATGTGGCCAGCATGACTAAGCTGCTTCTGGTGAACCAGAGCAGCACACGGAAACGCCATTTACCTTCCCGCCACAGCGGTACCTATTTATCTACTTGCACTGGTGTGCTTTCAAACTGCTAGGTTGGCAGGAGCTGGGACCGAGCAACGGGAGCTCACCCCGTTGCGGGGATTCAAACCTCCGACCTTCTGATCGGCAAGCCCTAGGCTCTGTGGTTTAACCCACAGTGCCACCCGCATCCCTCGAAGCAAGCAGTATTACCAGCTAAAGAAAGGGCCACTGACTCCAGAGTTTAAAATTAGCTAACTGCAGTGATGTATTCATGGAGGCCGTGACAATTAAAAACAATTGCGAAACGTATTTTCAGTCAGAGGCAGTAAGCTTCTGAACACCAGCTGTTGTGCTTTTGGGCTTCCAATTCGAGCATCTGGTTGGCCACTGTGAGAACAGGATACTGGACTAGATGGGTCACTGGGCTGATGCAAGTGCCGGGTTATTCTGATGTTCTTATGACTAACAGTAAGAGAGGGCTGTTGCCTTCGTGGCCAGCCTGTGAACTTCCTGGAGCCACCTGATTGGCCACTGTAGGGATACGGGAAGCTGTATTCCACAGTGGCCAATCAGGTGGCTCCAGGAAGCTGGACTGGACAGGGTGGTGTTTTTTTTGCCAGATCCAGCTATGGGACTCTTTGGGTGCTCTTAGGGTCGACATGCGTTCGGAAATAGGTAAGCCAGTGTGGTGTAGTGGTTAAGAGCGGTGGACTCGTAATCTGGTGAACCAGGTTCGCGTCTCCGCTCCTCCACATGCAGCTGCTGGGTGACCTTGGGCCAGTCACACTTCTCTGAAGTCTCTCAGCCCCACTCACCTCACAGAGTGTTTGTTGTGGGGGAGGAAGGGAAAGGAGAATGTTAGCCGCTTTGAGACTCCTTCGGGTAGTGAAAAAGCGCGATATCGAATCCAAACTCTTCTAAAAGCCAGGCAGATCAGAAACAAACCAGCAACGACAGGGTTCCACAGAACTTCTTTTTGGAAATGTTTATTTTATGAAAGGCATTCTTTCCATACAAAAAAAAAAATAGTATAAAAAATTAAATATTTAAATATTGCACAATATATTATTCATTCGAGACACGTTCTTTCTAAAGTCATATAAAATAAGTCATATAAAATCCTGCGCTCTTCAGAGCATTACTGCTTGTCTTAGCCCACCCGGGGGGGGGGGGAGAGACAAGCGTCAATGCCGCGCACCGGAACACATCCCTCTCGCCGGCGAGAGGGGGGCATTTCGGCAGCGGTGGGGCAGGTGGGGCGCCACCTCTTGCGCTTCTGCCGACTGAGGCGGGTGCTTCACCCCGCCTCATGGGTGGGCCGGCAGTGCGTGTGGGTTAAAATGGCGGGAAAGTGGCCTCTCCCTTAGTAGGACTGCATAGAAGGGAGTGGCGAGTGCTGTCAGAACCTTTGCCTGGACTTCCCTTCAGTGGAAGGCACATTGGCTACCCTATTGCCAAAGATCAAATAAATATACTCTATTATTATTATTATTATTAAATTATATTTATACAACAAAAACAAATCACTAAACATTAAATATCCTCACACCATCCCTCCAAGGAGGTAGGTCATAATTGGAGTTTGATGGCTAAGCATAGGTAGGTTATTTCCTCATATCATGAGGAGGGGGAGAGAGAGAGGTGGGCCACCTCTAGTCCCATGAGTGCAACCTCTGGCATGAAGAAGGCACGGACTGCAGTGAACTGTCCAAATGGGTCAGCTGAGTGCAAAGCAAATTCAAGCATTTTAAAAATCGGGTCCCAGACCGCCACTCTATTGCACCGTACATTGCTGGGAAATGTCAACATTCACCGGTCAGTCTGAGGATTCCTTCCCAGACACAGTCTTTTTTTGAGAACAGGACCAAAGGCTCTTCTTGCCGGAGAGGTCTCCCCAGCCCCAACTTTAATATCACACGAGGCAAAGTGCCTTTCTTTTATTTCCCCAAGACTTTCAAGAAGATATTTCCATCTCTGTATCATGCAGTGTTTTAAACTATGATGTTTCGGTTCTGGGATTTTGACTCTTGGTATCCATGAATTTGGGAAGTGGCCATAGCTCAGGGGCATCTGAGGTCAGGAGGTCCCAGACTAAGGTCCTGGAGAGCTGCTGCCAATCAGTGTAGACAACACTAAACTAGATGGACCCATTAGCCTGACTCTGTATAAAGCAGCTTCCTGTTTTCCTATAATTGCTGTGTCGTTGTTTTCAATCTCTACTCTGGAATGGGTGTTTTTAAAAAAAATATACATACTTTTAAAAATTGCTTGCTCATCTGCATTTGTGGTTTTCCATATGTTATCCTGTCACCTGTTCTAACAACTATTGATAGACTCACAGAGTTGCAACTATGAAGACCTGTTATTATAAAAATAACGATACCATCTAATAAATATTATAGCTGTAGAATCATGCTTACTCTTGAGCTGCTGGTTATTTCTTAAAATAAATACACAAACACCCGCAGGAAACTGTGGACCCTTTGAGAAAGCTTGGCTCCATTACGATTCGTAACTCTCGGGCGATATTCCCATCTGCCCCCACCCCCATTAAAAAGGGAGGGGGGAAGCCCAGGCATTGTGCATTGTGCCTATGCCAATATTTAAATGCATGCCTACTACTGCTAATCCTAATTACCCCTTTGCTCAACACTGAAAAGAGTTGGGCGGCAAGAAACCCCAAATCACAGTGAAACTGGCCGGTGTCAACATCTGAGACTGAATACGGTAAAAAAAGAAATCTTAAGTTATGAGAAAATAACCCTTTTTCGGAGGGTTCAAAGCATCATATTACATCATCTTGCCATAATCCTAAGGACAACCCTGTAAGGTAGGTCAGTATTATTATCAGTATTGCAGATCAGCATGGTGTTGGTTAAGGCAGAGAAAAAGACAAGAGGGCTCACCCACACTTATGTTTTGCCCTGTGGTTTTCCAGTCCATGTCCAAGCCAGAGGTGTGTGGTCAGTTGACTAGGGGAACTAGGCTAGTCCCCTAAATGTTCCCCAGGCGCCTCCTTCCCAAAAACTGGGATGCTTCTGCCTGGCTTAGGGAGGGAGGCAGGATGTGGCAATGTCACACGCACAATTTGCCCTCGCAAGCTGGCACCTCTGGACCTAACTTTTCCCCTACGAAAAATTTCAACAAGCATTGTCGTTGCTGTTGCTGTTTTGCCCTGCCAGTTCCCCCAGGAAAACCTGCTCTTCAACGCTGAATTGGAATCATACAGAATCATAGAGTCGTAGAGGCGGAAGCATAGCTGTCAACTTTTCCCTTTTCTTGCGAGGAATCCTATTCGGAATAAGGGAATTTCCCTTTAAAAAGGGGAAACGTTGACAGCTATGCTTCCTGCGGATCATCTAGCCCAACCCCCTGCAATGCAGGAATATGCAGCTGTCCCATATGGGGATCGAACCTGCAACCTTGGCGTAATCGGCACCACGCTCTGACCAACTGAGCTATCCAGCGACAAACAGCAATTTAGGTTTCAGAGGCAAAATTCAGTGGTGGAAAAAATGGGGTTTTTTGCTGGGACAAAAAAGAAAAGGTGCTTGGACAGGGAACTTTAAAACATGGATCAGTGCCTAGAAATGCAGAGCAAAGCTATGTGTAGATGAGCCCAGAGACAGAGACAGACAGACAGACAGACAGATAGACAGGGAGAGGCTTAGCTACGGCCACTTAGTGAGATGAGCTGCAGTCCTAACCTGGTTTGTTCAGAAGCAAGTCCTACTGGATTCAACGGGGCTTACTCCCAGGTAAGTAAGGTTAGGAGTGCAGCCTGAATCGCTCAGGATAGCAGGAGCTTCCCTGCTCCACATACAGGCTCAGGACTGAGCACCGTTTTAAACCCCTTTGACCATCCTGACTGTGAGTAGTGAAGACTGTAAAACTAAGTAACTGTGAACAGGTGTGCAAAAGCTTATCATATCACGGTGAGGTAGCTGAGGTTGGTGGGTGTGCTCGGGCCCCCTCCCCCCAGTAAACATTTCTCCAGAACTCTGCAGCCCCCCCCCCAGCTTTCCTGATCCGGAAAGGGAAAAGACCCATGGAGAGGAATGACTATGATGTCATCCCCAGGGCTATGGATACAACCCAAAACACGTTGGGTTGACGCTGCAGACAAAGAGTTCTTAGCATGGTCTCACGCGAAAGCTCATCTCTGCCTGTGGCATTTCCCCAAGGCCTGAGCGATGAGCGGGATGGTCTCTGCGTACATCCTGAGGGCCCAGCAGCCCTGCTTCTTCTTCTCAAACGCGCCCGTTTCCTCCGAGCCGTAGGTAACCTTCACATCAGTGACTTTGTACTCGGAGCACAACAGGCAGGTGAGGTTGGCTAGGAGGCCTCGCGTCTTGGCGGTGGTGTTGCTGAGCCGTTCCAGCAGGTCCTTCCTCTCGTTGTTCTCCTGGTCTCTGGTGATGTTGCCCAGGGAGGCGTTGAAAAAGGTGAAGATCTTGTACAGCGAGATCAGCATCTCTTTCCTGGTCCGGTTGTCAAAGGAGGGGAAAGTGTCTTTGGAGACGCAAAGCGATTTCACCTCCGCTCTGTTGAAGGGGGAGCCTTGGCTCTCCAGCTGCTCAGGATAGAAGGAGGAACCAAATTAAGAGCTGGCATTGATACCCATTTTACTTTATGCTGCTTGCTTTAAAAAAAAATACCCTTGTTATACACATCTGGCCAAAAATAGTCAGGGGAGCATGAGACACTTAATCTTGGGTTGTGGGTTCAAGTCCTACATTTCTGCTTCGCAGGGGGTTGAACTAGATGACCCTCGTGGTCCCTTCCGACTCTATGATTCTATGATCTGGATAATGTGCTTTTATCTTTCATAATGTTTCTTTAATGCAGGGCATTGGCAGTAACAAGATTTGAGAGCGGGAACCAATGTTTGTAAAGTGCCTAAAATCCCACCTAAAACCAAATTAAGAAGCACATTTCTGTGAGTGGATTAATCTGCTGATTTCATTTTCTCCTTCCAATCTTAGGTTCAGTTCGACACATATCCGTATCTGTTGGTGATTTTATTTTACTTTTTAAGGTCCCCGTAAAAATTCATCAGTGATTTAGGATGACTCCCTCCCAGCACGTATATTTTTGCATGCAATTGCCCCTTGTGTACGCATTTTTAAAAATCAATTTCCCCTAACATAACGCATTTTTGTATACTGTTTTTACTAAGATATTCATTTGGATGCAAACTTTAATAGATGCACCTTTTTTGTTGAAGGACCACATTCCCTTACGAGTAACCTTCTGGAAGGCCGTGTGGCATTGGTGGGCGGGACTAGAAGCAAAAGTTGGCGGAGCAACGGATGCAAAATTGTACAATAGACTAGTTTCTACACATACACTCTCTCTCCATCCTCCATCCAGGAGAGTAAGGAGCATCATCAGAATTCAGGGACATATCCCAGTCAGGCAAAAACACTCAAGGAGGGTGCAAATCAGGTGTGGCCTGGGGAGAGTCCCGAGGGCCAGCTAGACTGCCCTGGAGGGCCGCATTCCTGTGCCTGAAGTTCCCAGCCTCCCCTCTACACCCAAAACTTACATAGGCATCGAAGAGACCCGGGGCCGACAAATTGAGACGTGTCACTTGGCACTTAATTTGATTGAAGACTGTTTCTCCGCAAGGGCTGATGTTGTCGCACATGAGGTTCCGCCTGTTCCTCAGGAGGGGTTTTCCGGGCACCAGTCGGCAGTGCATGGCTAGCAGCAAAGGAACAACTCCTGTGCGGAAGAGGAGGAGGAGGAAAGGATGCGTCAGGGTTTGCTGTCCAGTAGGGAAACAATGTGTCCCAGAACCAAACATACAGCAAGTAAAGAGAGAAAAGCAGGAGGCTCTGGGCGCTTATATGCATGAGTTCTGCTGCATTTCAAGGTTGGCGGTTCGAATCCCCGCGACGGGGTAAGCGCCTGTTGCTCGGTCCTTGCTCCTGCCAACCTAGCAGTTCGAAAGCACATCAAAGTGCAAGTAGATAAATAGGTACCGCTCCGGCGGGAAGGTAAAAAGCGTTTCCGTGCATTGCTCTGGTTCGCCAGAAGTGGCTTAGTCATGCTGGCCACAAGACCCGGAAGCTGTATGCCGGCTCCCTCGGCCAATAAAGTGAGATGAGTGCCGCAACCCCAGAGTCGGCTACGACCTAATGGTCAGGGGTCCCTTTACCTTTACTTTTAGTTATTCACTTATTTTGCAAGGAATTCCCCCTGCCATAATGCATCTTTGCGCATTATTTTCATGAATGCAGATAAAAGAAAGGACTTCTTCAGAAAGTGCCGTGTTAAACTGTGGCTCACTGCTGCATTGATGGTCACCAACTTGGATGTCATTATTATTATTATTATTATTATTATTATTATTATTATTATTATACCTTTGAAAGAGGACTGGACAAATTCATGCGAGGACAATGTTCTCAATGGCTGCTAGTCACAGTGGCTATCCTCTGCCTCCACTGTGAGAACAGGGTTAATTTTAAAATTATTAACCCCTTATGTTGATTTCTTACTGCTTTAATATAATTATTTTATATTTCTCACTGTTTTGTTTTTTTAAAAAATATTTTACATTGTTTTTAATTCTAGATTTAATAGTCTGTTTAATGCATCCTATTGTGTTTTACGTGCTCTGTTTTGCTTCCTACCTTTCATACTGGTTATTGATCAAAATAAATATATAAATGGAAAATATAGATGTGAAATAGATGGGCCATTGGTGGCCTCACCTGATGGTCTTAATCATCCCTCTGGGTTTTCCCCTCCCCAAACACCACCAGTCCTGAGAGTGAATTGCAAATGCCCTCTCCTTGCTCTCCCCTGGTTTTCTTTACTCTCTGCTCCTCCTCTTCCAGGCTACTATAGCTGGATGTTCCCTCGCTGGCCACCCACAGCTCCCAAGTGCTATTGTTTGATTCGTGCAGCCTTGCCCAGCCAACGTCACCAGAATTCCCCTCGGTTCTGAGTGACGGGTGGCAACCTTCCCAGATTTCATAACCGCAGGCCAAACAATGTCAAATATGCAAAGCGGTTCCTACCGGGAACATCTCCAGCTCAGCATCAAAGCAGCAATTTGGGAAAACCTCTTCCCTCATTTCACACTTATTTCTTTTTTAGACAGTCGGAGGAGGACTGTGCGCTAGGCAGGTGTCCCACAAAAATAAAAAGGAAAAGGAAAAAGCAGGGCATAGGAAGCTACCTTATACTAACCAGCTTGATATTGTCTGCACTGACTGGCAGCAGCTCCTTAGGTCTCAGGCAAGGGACATTCCCAGCCCTACCTGGAGATGCCAGGAACTGAACATTAGGACCATCTCATGTGAAATAGTTGCTCTACCCCCTTCGCTATAGTCTTTCCCCATTGCTCCATCCAACTCAGTACAGTGGTACCTCGGGTTAAGTACTTAATTCATTCTGGAGGTCTGTTCTTAACCTGAAACCGTTCTTAACCTGAAGCACCGCTTTAGCTAATAGGGCCTCCCGCTGCCGCCGCACCACAATTTCTGTTCTCATCCTGAAGCAAAGTTCTTAACCCGAGGTACTATTTCTGGGTTAGCGGAGTCCATAACTTGAAGTGTCTGTAACCTGAAGCATCTGTAACCCGAGGTACCACTGTATTTTCAAGGGTTTGGCAGTCAAGCCTGATGAGGAATGGTTGAAGGAGCCTGGCATGTTCAGCGTGGAAAAGAGGCGACTGAGAGGAGATATGATAGCCATCTTCAAATATCTTAAGAACTGTCACGTGGAAGATGCAGCAAGCTTATTTTCCCTACTCTGGAGGATAGGACTCAAACCAACGGCTTCAAGTTACAAGAAAGGAGATTCCGATGGAATACCAGGAAGGACTTTCTGACGGCAAGAACTGTTCCATAATGGAACAGACTCCCTCAAGAGGTTGTGGACTCTCCTTCATTTGGGGTTTTTTAGGAGAGGTTGGATGGCCATCTGTCAGGGATGCTTTAGCTGAGATTCCTGCATTGCAAGGGATTGGATGAGATTACGCTTGGGGGTATCTTCCAACTCTATGATTCTGTGATTCTACGACTGGCAGTGGCTCTCCAGGATTTCAGGCAGGGAACTCCTCTATCACCCCTTCCTGGAGATTGAATGTGAGGTCATTCTGCATGCAAAGCAGGAGCTACGCCCCTTCCCTTGAGGAACACAGGAAGTTACTTTATATGGAGCTAGACCATTGGTTGGTCTAGCTCAGTGCTGTCTATGCTGACAGGCAGAAGCTCTCCAGGGGTTCTCACAGGGGTGTTTAAGAAACCTTGGAGGCCCTGGATGTTGTCAGACTCCCGCTCCCATCAGTCACACGGCTAAGATGCAGTAGGGCTGCCGTATATCCAAGTTTTCCCAGACATTACTGGGATTACGGTCTTCAAATAAAAACATCTTGAAGGTCCCAGGCCACAGAGAAGTTAGGCTGGCCTCAACTAGAGCCAGGGCTTTTTCGGCTGTGGCCACGATCTGATGGAACGCTCTGTCACAAGAGACCAGGGCCCTGCGGGACTTGACATCTTTCCGCAGGGCCTGCAAGACAGAGCTGTTCCACCAGGCCTTTGGCCAGGGCACAGCCTGACTCCCTCCCTCAGCAATCTTCGCGGAGCTCTGGCCCAATGGTTGCCAGTGGCCTGAATTAATTAATTTTATAATGAATGATTTTAGAGTGTTGTTTATGCTGTACTTTTGTACTGTTTTATTGTTGTTAGCCGCCCTGAGCCCGGCTTCGGCTGGGGAGGGTGGGATATAAATAAAATTTATTATTATTATTATTATTATTATTATTATTATTATTATTATTATTATTTCAAAGGTGGCATTGACGTCCAGGGGGGATTTCCTAAAGGCAGCACCTTATCCTGGATCTTTGGCAAGTCAATCAAAAAATCACAGGGTTGTTGTTGTTTTGAGTTTTTGTAAAACGAAACAAAACACCTCAACAACTTTGGGGTATTCCTTAAAATAAGCTCAGGGTGTCCTGGTTTTTACTTTTTGAAATACAGTCGTACCTTGGAAGTTGCGACTGGAACGTTTTGGCACCCAAACGCCACAAACCCGGAAGTGAGTGTTCCAGTTTGCGACCGTTTTTTGGAAGCTGAACGTCCAACGTGGCTTCTGCGGCTTCCAATTGAGTGCAGGATTGGTTTCCGAATGTTTTGGAAGTTGAACGGACTTCCAGAACAGATTCTGTTCAGCTTCCCAGGTACGACTGTAAGGCAACCCTAAGCTGTAGTCCAACAACATCTTGAGAGACACAGGTTCCCTATCCTGGACCTGTTTAATGACCAAGACATACCTGCCATCCCATATACTCCTTAAATAACTATGGCCTGGGAGTTACCAGCGACTTGCAGAAAGCTCGATCGGAAGAGCAGGGGGGTCAAACACAAAGAGGAGCTTGGTGGGCTCAGCCTTGTGGGGCCAAGGAGGACAGTAAGGGGTTAACTGAGTGGTGGGGAGAAGCGGCAAAGTGTCTGGGTATAAGGCAGGGGGAAGTTGGCCAAATGTGTGGAGGAGAGCAAGACAAAGGATGAAGCACATTTGCAAGCAGACCTTCCATGTGTCCCTACTTTCCAGGGACAGCCTCGGATTTACAGAAGCTGTCCCAGTTCCTTGGAATGTCCCAATGTCCCAATTTTCCATAGGATGCCCCTATTTTCACCAGAGAAATATTGGAGGGTATGGAAGGAAGTCCCTCAGTGCTGGATTCAACCCTGTGGAGGCCCCTAGGCAATCAAAATCTCAGGGTGGGGAGGAGAGAGCCTCGTGGGTGAGCTCTAGCAGGATAACATTGAACTAAGGAAGATTGGTTGCAATTTGCTCTCAAGGTCAAATCAATATTATTTTTGATCCGTTGTCAAGAGGCCCCTAAAATAAGGTTACCAGACGTCCCCGTTTCCCGGCAACAGTCCCTGGATTTACAAATCAGTCCACTGACAAAATCCTATAATTCCTATTGAAATTGAAAAGTGTCCCCAGATTCATTGAAAAAAATCTGGTAACCTTACCCTAAAAGGTGTGGGGCTCATAAGCTTGGACACAGGCACCCCTATTTTCACCAGAGGAGAGAGAAAGCAGGGGGAACTGGGCAAGAGAGGGCAGAAGATTTCTCCAAAGAGAATTGCAGAGGCTGCTGCCAGCCAACGAGACCCACTCAAGGTGGCAGGGAGAGGAGGTTTAGTACCAGTGGGTATGTTCCAAGGCTGGGCATGACGTCTAGGCAAAGTCAATATGGTGCACGGGCTGAGCAAGGCCTAGGGGGAGGCCACCAAATTCCAGAGATGTGGGCACCAGAAATGGGGAATCCTCTTGTCTGTGGGCCAAACTCTCCCCATCCAAGGTCTCAATCTGAGCCCTATTTTCCCCAAGCCATGCCCAGCCACCCTTCAGACTTAAAGCAAAACCGTTTGGCTAGTGCACCCTTCAGTTGATGGGATGTTGAGGAGGAGGGCAGTCTTTGCTCCAGGAAGAGGAAGCGGTTTCGGAAAACCGCTGCTGCTGCCATGGAGGTTGTTCGATAAGGGAAATAGCAGCACATGACTTAGGCAGTCCTGACTCAAGGAGCTGTTGGTGATAGCATCTCCCCTAAGATCTGTGGTTGATTCCGTGCTAAGCATTCAGCTCTGTTCCTCAAGAGTCAGGCTGGCTGTCCAAGGAGATCACACTAATATCTCTTTGCAATGACAGGCAGAAGCGACTCCCCAAGTGAAAGCTATTACATTTCCGAGGATGGAAGAGGTGATTTGTTGCTGGGTAGCATTCAGGTCCAACATTCCAAAAACCATCCACTTCCACATGGATGCCTCCAGGAGCCCATCGGCTTCTCCTGTTGCCCTTTTTCCAGGCGGGTATTATTAGTTAGAGGTTTGGTTCTGTTCGCCAATCACAGATAAGTAGCCAAAAATTGTCTAGCCCTTTCTAAAAACCATCTTGTAGCTAGTGTCTACAGATGGGCAAATCCATCTATTTCTTTTTCTCTCTCATTTTTCTCAATCTTAAATTCAGTTTGCTACATTTCCACATCATTTTCTGAACTTTTAAAGTTTAAACAATGCATGTTCCTCCCCCACACACATTATACACATCTTTTTGTATTACATTTTGCCCAATACGCCCATTTTTTGTATCCAATTTTGCCTTATAAAGCACATTTTGTATACTACAAATAATCATAATCATAATCATAATATTTTTATGCCACCCATCTGACTGGTTTGCCCCAGCCACTCTGTACTGAGTCTTTGGTGGGAGAACTGCATTGCAAAATTGGAGAAAGTGTGAAATTTTGAAGCATGGCTACATTTCAGTTTGTATACTGTTCCAGGAAGTGCACAATAGGTAGATCCAAATTAAAATGTGAAGCAAAGTGAATTTATCTCTTATCCCGACTAGTGACCATTAAAATGTCTTGTGATGGTGAATTCTGATGGCATAGCCTTAGAATGTACACACTATAATAAATGGGTATGTTTACTTTTGAAGGTGCTGGACAATCCTGAGGTTTTGGGCTATTATTATTATTATTATTATTATTATTATTATTATTATTGAAAAGCTTATCCAGGTTACATTATTAGTCATTAATTCACCAGCTGAAGAGTTCTAGCAAGAAGTTATTCATCCCTCTAACACATGAGCTCTTGCAAAGCTTA